GGCCCCGGTGTGCAGGGATCGGGCAGGGCCGGTCCTGTCACTCTCGGGGTGGCTGGTGTCCAGGGAGGTGTCTGGGCAGTGGTGACATTGCCGGCAGTTGGCGTGATTTGCACTGAAGAAACTGAGTCATAGGCAGACCCCTCGAGTGACTTGGCACGCCGAGGGGGAGTTCTCAAGGCAGCCCTGATGCGGATCGCTTGTTTGCAAGGCGTGCCTCTTTGCTCGTCTCTTTCCTTGTCAGTTACTAACTAACCTGCTGCTCAAATTCAGCTCCTCTGGGGAGCCGGCTCCAAGTCACTGCAAAATCTTGATTTTTTTCAAGTTTCTCACTGTCCTTCGATGTTATTTTGCCTTAAAAAATATGAGAACCTCCATTATTACACTTTCTCCCATGCAAAAGCAGCCTCTTATACATGCTCCATACCATTTCTCCTTTTTGTTACAACTATTCAAAATACATTTTCTTCCCATTCTTCATCTTAGTTTATCAAATTCTTTTTTATGCTGTTATTCCCAAATGCATTTCAGAGTCAAATAGAACTTGTATGACTGCTGATTTAAGGTATCATAACGTACAAGTTTTAAATAACATTTCTCCTGGTACTTGTTTATACTGATTTGCTAGAAAGATATGATAACACCATGAGCTATGATTAACATGGATTTAGGGGCTTTGGAGGATTTTTTTCTTTTGATAGCTGGTAAGTGGCAGAAGAGATTTAATTTGGATGATTGCATAATTATGTCAGAAATATATATTGCAGATGAAACACTTCGGTAAACATTTGTATGAAGAAGACAAGCACACTCATCCTACTCATTCCTGCCGCATACTATTCGTCATGGCTGTACACTGGGAAAAGTGTAGTAACTTTTAATGTCATTAGTATTAATTACATAGCTTGGTGAGCGTGATACATGTCATTTTCAAAGCATTTCCATGCACATTATTAAAACGCGTACATGTCTTACAAACATTGCGTAAGCGATGTCATCCTGACTTTCACAGATAGATAACTGAGGGATGGGAAGAGGAACCTTGACTTACTGTTGATAAAAGCTTGATGTCACAAGAAGGGTTTGCAGCTGAGCAGAGGTGAGAGCTAGGAAATTCCTAGCTCCGGTGCTTTGTATTTAGGCCAGTGTATTAATAGCTTACAATATCATCTGCTTTGGGTAGTCTGTGCATTGTTCTAGGGAAGATAAAGTGCACTGCACACTGTGAAGACTGTAACAGGTTAGATCCCTTTCAAGACCTAGAGTGTAGTCCTTTGGCTAGTTTCATTTAAGTAATATTTGCCTGTGGAAAAGCTTGTTGTCTTTCTACGTGCTTCTGAGCAAAGCGAAAGAACACAAGCTCCTCTACTTATGCTCAGCAGGCTGAACCTGGACCAGAGCCAATCCAGAAATACAGCCAAGTTAGTTCAGTGCTTTGTTTGAGCTCCTGTGTCATGCTAGAGCATTGAGAACAGATCAGGTTTGCATCAAGCCACTTTGAATATGGGCAAAGCTGTCTTCCAGTTGATGATGTAGCCTAAGAACTTCAATAATTCTTTTATTTCTGGAAGCCTGCCTTTACTGTCAGTGGTGAACTGCCTAGTCTGAAAACCCTGTATAAGCTTCCTGTACTTTCACATGGATAGAGTTTCTTGGTTTTGAATGGCTAATCTTTTCATAAACATTAAATCAGGTTAAAAGTAATCCTTGCTCAGAAAGTACTGGTATGTTCAGTAATTGATCTCCTCTGATGCATATGTCAGGGCTGGGATGGAGTACTAGACTGTTGCTATACTGTTCAATAATGAAAAGTTATTTGATCGTGTACTCTGTGTATATTGGGGGACAGGACTAATTTTTACAATACTCTTAGGAAGCAGAATGTATTGCAGCCGATACTTGCTGAGCTCACTGCAGGTTACTGTATGCTGGGCATTATCAGTCTGAAGCTGTAAGGATTGTCAAGAATAAGAAGCCTCTTGCATATGAGAGTGAAAATTGATTTCCTCCCTGGGCAATCTTACTTGAAGGAGCCAATTCAGTCACTTGATCCTATTTGATAAGAAATGTAACTGTTTTGTTGCTACTCTGAAAGATATCTTTCCTGGAAGAAAGTTCACTATGTCTTTCTCGTTTTTTTTTGGTTTTTTTTGTTTTTTTTTTAAAGGAGCTCTGCTGACGGTGGAGCATGTGAAGAATGATGTTGAAATTTTAGTGGAAGAAGGCAAAGAAACCATCCTCCGTGTTGCCGAGTGAGTGACTTTGCATCTCTCCTTCTAGCTTTGGGTCAGCAGTTTTAAAAATCACATGGTTGTAACATTGACTAACCTTTCCAGGTAGGAGGAAGAGAAGAATACAGTGTTATTAATCACTGCATTACTGATGTCTCTTTGTAGCACAAACAAAACATTTACAATACATTCTAAATTTGGTCTTTATGGAAAGAGCTCTGATATTCCTATTTGCATGAACTTAGGTCTAATAATTTATGCTGTACCAGTCACTTTACTGTTTAGGTATTTGCCTCTTTGAGGTGCCATGGATTATCAAAAGCAAGGCCATTTTATATTAGGCAAGATTGGTATAGAAGATTCCTTGGACTTGTACACATGTGGTGGAATGACTTTTAAAGGTTTATGTGGCATTATTTTGGGCTCACTGCTGCATGATGTGAGGGCTTGATGTCATCTCAGAAAAGTGCTAGTTAACTGTGCCATGCTATCTGGTGTATCCATCTGCATCCTGTAGAAAGAATCTTGGAATTTTTTGTAGAAATCTATTGTCTATCCTTCTAAAAATACTCTGTCATTATATAAATATATTTGTCGTTATATAAATATTTTCAAGTTTGGGGCATGAGTGTGATTTTTATGATCTGAGTAGGATCATAAGCTTATCAGAAATGCAAGACTAATGTTGGTTTTTGGAAGCTGCTTTGTCATCTTAGATTCCATATCAGGTGAGATACCTGGGTGTATCAAGAGGAGATATCCTGATATCTTAAGTGCCAGCAACATATTAGTGGAAATCTCTGATGTCTGGTATCTGCAGTAAGGAACATATTTTGACCCATAAACATTGCAGTCCTAATTTACAGTATATTAACAGTGCGATAAGTTTGGAGTTAGTGATTATAAGTGTAGTTTTTGAATACTGATTGTTTTTTGAAAGAACAGGGGAAAAAAAAATCTATTGTTCATGGACTTGCTGACAAACTCGCATTTGGTGAGCTATGTCAGTAGAAGATGCTGTTAAAGCCACCAATACATCATAAATTGGTATTCCTCCCTGTGTGTCTGTAGGATGGTTATAACAACAACATAGTATTTTTATGCTGTGTTGTGGGGACCCTGGCTCGATCCTTATAAATTGATACCAATTGATATTTCCCTGTCTTCAAT